AGGGACCCGGAGGGGGAAGAAACCCGGAGGGAACCTGGCGGGGATCTCGGAGACGGAATTAACGCTGCGACACTTTGGCCGACTTGTCCGGGTATGAATGACGGCCATTTTCCAGCCAATGGAAAAAGACGACGCCTATCCTTTTCCTCCCCCCCCCTCTCTCTCTCTCTCTCTTTCTCTCTCTCTCTCTCTCTCTCTCTCTCTCTCTCTCTCTCTCTCTCTCTCTCTCTCTCTCTCTCTCTCTCTCTCTCTCTCTCTCTCTCCCTCGCCGGCTGCTGGCAGTTTGGTGACGGCATTGTAAGGTAACGAAGCCAAATGGCGTCGCGGAATGAGCAGTGTCGAACTGGCGCTTGGGAAAGCTTGAAAAAGCGCGCCGCTTTCGAGACACTTTTCTCTTTTTTTTTCCTTTTTTCCTGAGACGCTCAAACGGAGCGGTGAGGAGGGCAATCACGGCGCTGCCCCCGTCCGAATGCGATTCGCAGAACGGCGCGGCGCGCAGAGCGGCGCGGAGTGACAAATTAAATTGCGGAAACGTTGGGCGCCACCGCCGCCTTTCGGCTTCACTTCCTGTTCCGTCCCGCAGGGATCGCGTGAGGTGCCTCCAAGTCTCCGTCTTACACTGAAAAAAAAATAAAATAAAAAAAATGCGCGTTGTTTGCTGCCACGAAATGGGGTAGGGAAAGGGTACGGACCTTCCGCACTGGTTTTCCATAAGTTTGCGTCAGGATCTCAGGTAAACTGGTACGGAAAACATGCACAGAACCTCCGTTTCGTAGTTGGCAGGGCACGGACGGATCAGAAAGGTGACCAGACATTATGTTCATGTTCCGTATTTTTAGGCACGAAGTAGCCTTATAGTATACCCAGGATTCAGCCGGCCCGAGATTCAATTTGTGTGGCCCTTTATGCATTTCGGAAATTTTCTATACGATTTTAATGAGACTTTGCAGACTTGTAGAACTTTGAACGCTGATTCTCATGCTGAAATCTGGTTAAAAAGTTGGTGGCCAATTTTGAGAAATTTGCTGTCAAAATCGCCGTTTCCATGGCAAAACTCGACTCGTCAAAGGAAAAAAAAGGGAGTGGGGGGAGCCGAGCCGGGGCGGACCAATAGCTGAGCTTCTTTTTGGGTCTGTACAGCTTACTCCAAAAGCAGAAATCAGCACGTTCGAAATGAAAAATTTCTTTGACTGCAGGTAGACAAGATGCAACAATAGAATTGGTGTCGGTTCGAACGCAGTTTTTCGGGTAGAACTATCCAATAATACTTCTTGATTGGAGTGTTTTTGGACATGCGCAGTAGGTTTGCAACCTGTTTAACAGTTTAGCCAACTGTAGCATTTGAAATCTGTATTAATTTTGCTCTCTTTCTTGTTTTTTCTTTGTTTCCTGCTTATGACAATTCATATAAAACAAATTTTCAATTTTTGTGTGATGACTTTCTAAAAAAATATTCACAGAAAATTAGCAAAACAAAAGTTCTTTTTTTCTGACATATAGTTTCTCAAATATTCCTTTTTTTCTGTCAATAAAACAATTTTGTTGTTGTTGTGATTCAGTTAGCACTGACCACTTCGCTCCACCTCGCGACTTGCAGTGCTCATGTTCCTCGAACAAGACTCACCCGCGTTTCGAAACCATCCCTCCCGAGTTTATGAAGTTTGTCAAACCAACCGTCGTGGTGTTGATACGTTGTAAGGGAGAACTATTACACAGAATTGAAGAAAACATGACTAGAGAACCACAGCCTTTTGAAACAAGCCAAACATTTCAACGTCAGCAACAATGGATGGGCAGTTTTAATGCGCGACTGCTGGTGCTTTCAGCTTCGCGATTTTCGCAAGGGCGCAGACGCCGAGAAACTAGTTGCCAACCCGTGAAAATAAATTTACTGCCTTCTTTCTGCCATTGTTAGAACACTGCGGAATACATTAGCATTGGAATTTTTTGAATTTACCAGCATTTTGATTTCTATTGTCAAGTTTAAATTTTGACGGGTGGCACATCGACCACATTGGTACCACTGCCATTGGTGGTCCCCTGAGCCACAACTTCACAAAACCTTTTCTTTTCTTTCTCCACACTCTTACACAATAATCAAACTGACTTCGTGACTCCTAGGATTTCTTGAAATCGTATTTTTTTTCTTTCAACCAGTATTTGCGACTCTCGCACCGATTTCGACGACTTTCTGTGAAAAAAAATATGAGAGGACCTACTACACCGCAAGTAGTAGCTTCCGAACCGGAGTGGCACGGCCGCACTCCGCGGGCTTCTCTCTTTATACTGGACTTCCCCAACTTCCCCCTCGGCCGCCAGGGTGCGCCACCTGGACCGGCCGGATCATCGGGCGACATTTTATCCCACACACGTGTGTGTGTGAGAGAGAGATTGAGTGTGAGTGTGTGTGTGTATGTTTCCTCCCCCGAAAGTCTATTTACCGAGGCCGTTAAGGGCTCGATCCTGATTTTGGATTCGAATGGCCGCGGCGTGGCTTGTGGGGGCGGCCTTGCCGTGTGGTGTGGAGCACACGGCCGAGCTCAGGGCGAAGAAGGAGGAGGAGGAGAAGTAGGAGGAGTATGAAGAGGAGGACGAGGAGGAGGAGCTAGAGGAGGACGAGGAGGAGGACGAGGAGGGGGAGCTAGAGGAGGAGGAGGAGGAGGGGGGGGAGGAGGAGGAGGAGGAGGAGGAGGAGGAGGAGGAGGAGGAGGAGGAGGAGGAGGAAGGGAGGAAGAGAGGAAGAGGAAGAGCAAGGAGGTGGTGGAAGAGGAGGAGGAGGAGGTCGGAGTCGAAAATGCAGCGTGGTTGGCGTGGCGGGCGAGGCGGTGCCATCTGCTTTGACTCACAAAGAGGACAGCGAGGCGACACCGTGCGCGCATGATGCACGCATGATGCACGCATGATGCACGCATGATGCACGCGTGACGCACGCCGAGGCGCGAGGGCTGCAGGCTGCAGTCCTTGACCACGACGGCGCGGCTCCTCTTGCTCCGCGCTGGCGTCATAGCCACAGCTTCGACTGTTGACAGCCCGCTCCGATGGGATTCGAACCAGCGGACTGTGCGCGCGGGGCCGCGGGGCACTCGGGGCGGGGGCTGAGCCGCGCTTAGCCGCTCGCCACCTTATTCCTCCTGCCGCTTCGTCGCTCTGTCTCTCTCGCACCCCTGCGGAACGCCCCATGAGTGCGACAGAGAAAGAGCGACTCTCCGGAAAAAGTCTGCTGACGGGCCGACCGGTCTTCCCAGTGTACCTGCCGCTGTCCGCGGATCGGTTTCCTGGTCAAGCACGCCCGGATCTCGTGACCAAAGGACCACGGCGTCCCGCCCCGCGGCGCATGTTTTTCTTTGTCGACGACGTCCTCGCCGTCCTCACCGCCCCAGGCGCTCGCGCTCCAAGCGCCATTTTTCAGGACCTTTTGCCGAGCTCCCCCAGCAGTTTCTCTTGACACAGGTGTGGTGCAGAAAGGCTGCCCACGCCGCGCTGATCCCGTTGACGCTGCCGTCCTCTGGAAATAACAACACCGCAGTTGGTTCGAGTGTGGGAGTCGAGGCCTCGCCTGCCGCCGCGGCGTACTGCCAGCGTACTGCGACGCCCCCGGGGCCCGCAGGCAGACCCAGGCAGGCCCAGGCAGGCCCGGGGAAGCCCAGGCAGGCCCAGGGCCTCGGCCGCGGCGCGGCCTCGACGGGGGCCTCTGTGTCATCCACCCTAATGAGATGCCCCTCGTGCAGCGAGGCCGTGGCGAGGCAGGCGAGGCCGTGGCGAGGCAGGCGAGGCCGTGCTGGAGGTGGCGTCGCTCCGCCGGCTCCGCTGCAGACTGATTCCGAGAGTCGTTTTCGCCGCTCTGTCTCTCTCGCCCCCTTTCGGGACGCCCCATGAGTGCGAGAGAGACACAGCGACGAATAAACGACTCTCGGAATCAGTCTGCTGGCTCCGGAGGCTCGGCTCCGCGCAGCGAGGCACGGACTGGGCAAAACAAAAGAAGCAAGAGTCATCGTTGCAAGGGCCTCCTCGGCGCATGTCCTCGGGGATTGAGGCTGGCAGGTTGGCCAACGCCACCGCGCGCCGCCGCGAGTGCGTGAAGACGAGACGAGCAGGGCCACCAACTTCCCGGAGGTGCACCATGGGACCAGCACCGCCATGGACGGTATCACCCTGTCCAAGGGGGTATTCACTCCTAAAAGGGGTCGACATACTAATACCTTTTGAAAAGTATTACATGAATTACATCCTATTACAGCTAATCTGTCAATTACGGGTATTACCTCACTATTACAGCTATTACAGACCTATTACAACACTATTACAGCAATTACAGACGATTACATCGAATACAATCGACGATTACAGACCTATTAGAGTGCTATGAGAGCAATTACCAACTATTACTTCAAATGCAGTCATTACATAAATTACACAGTATTACATACCAATTACGGCAATTACACAACAATTACAGCTAATACATAACAATTACAGCTATTTCATAACAATTACCGTCACAACAACGCCATTTTCTGACATTTAAAACAATTTATGTGTTACTAATACCACCTATTACGCATCAATTACACTCCTATTACACCTATTACGGGGCCATTACAGGTAATACACCATATTACAGCAATTACACAGACATTACCTATTACAGGAACTATTACAGGGCTATTACACACCCTTCGACCGACTAATACCTGAGTGAATACCCCCTTGACCCTGTCAGAGTCCACAAAGGTACTCCGCGCTTCAAACCTTACCAAGTATTCTGAGCACGGTCACGTAGAACGCACGTTTTAGTTTGTTCTGAAAAAAAAAAAAAAAACAGTTCATAAGTTACGAAGTATATTCGTTCATTGTAAAGATTAGCCATGAGATTAGCTGTGCTCAAAATACTTTGTCATGACGAGCTAGTTTTCTTTGTAAAGCCTCCTAAAATACTTTGCGAGGTTTCAGAGGCGCATATTTTCGGTTTTCTCCATTTCTTTGTCTCTCTTTTTTTTCAGAGAAGGGGACCGCCTGCGCCCGGGAAGTGAAGCACGAGCAGGGCTGCCTGCGGTACCGAACTCCAATCAATACTGTCTCGCCAAGGTTACGCATTACCCGCCGGCTGGCTTTTCTTTGCGAGCTTCATCGCGGCGCGGGTTCGAATCCCGCCGGGGTCCCTTTTGTGACAAGTCGCCTTTGGCTTGCCTTTGGCGTGCCTTTGGCCGCGGCGTGGCTTTTGTACTTGGCTTGCCGCGCCCTGCGCTCCGAACGGCAGGCTAAACAGTGCTCTGTCTCTCGCGCTCATGCGGCACCTCGTACGGGTGCGAGAGAGACAGCGCGACGAGGCAAGCAGCGTTCGACTGCCGAACCCCGAATCAGCCCCACTCCTCCCGCACTTGGTGTATTTCAGCGGCAGATGTTGGCGCAACTGTCGCCGCCATGTTTGTTGGGTTCGGCTTGGGCGTTTCAGCGGCAAGTTTTCGCCTTGGTGGGGCCACGGTGTCCCCGCACTGCCCAAGAGTGCTGCCATCGGCTGCCATCATGTTTTTACAAATAACAGGAAAAGTAGCGATATACATCGGCAACTTTGGCCCGTCCCGTACATTAAGAAACGTACGAATTTCGCCTATGTTTGACCCTGACGGGAATTAAACCTGAGTCTGGGGTTAAAATAAATGTCGTTTTCGTCATCAGCACCCTCGAAAACATCAAAAACAATGCAAAAACTCGAATAAAAAGAATGTTCAAAAAATACCCCGCTGGGATTTGAACCCGGGTCCGAACTTCTCCGATTCGCTCGAAACTGGCACCATTGGTTTTCTCTCGTCGCCCCTATTCCAAAAATACCCCTACATGCCCTCCTAGCTGCATCCGTTGCCGAGATCCTCCTCGACCCCATGTAGACCATGATGCACCTGCAGCAGCGCTCCCGGGGCTCGGATCGGATTTGCTGCCACCGGGCGGTTCTTAGGGTCACCCAAGGAGGCTGCATACCAAATTTGGTAAAGATCGGACTACGGGAAGTCCTCGGACGGACGAACGGACGAACGGACGCACAGCAGGGATCATACTATATGCCCGTCCCTCCGTCATTTTTTTACAGAAAAAATAAACGGGACGGGCCAAAAAACGCCGCTATTTGAAATGCCGACGGCGAACTTGCAAGTTTTCTCACTTGCAACCGAGAAGCCAAAGTCGCGTTTTGCTGCTCTCCTTTCGTGCGCTGTGATTTAGTCAGGTGGAAGTAATCCGTCCTTGTCTGGCTGGAGCCTCGCCTGGAGCCCCGCCTGGAGTAAGCCAGCCTCTCGCGGCGCCGCAGCGATGGGTGTGAACGCACCTCTTAGGCCGCAAGCCCCGACTTTGTCGCGTGTGAGTTGGAGATAAGTTAGTTACCTGTATGCGACGTGCTCGTCACTTCTAACCCCGCGAGCTGTGAGCTGCTGGCCGTGCCATGCCGTGCCGCGCCGTGCCGTGCCGTGCCGTGCCCTGCCACCCAATGTCGCTGTCTCTGGCTTTGCCAAATCCTGTCACGTCATTTCACACGGGGATGCCTCCAAGGCTGCTTCTTAGGATGCCTGCCTGCCGCAGCCCTACTGCCACTTTTCCGCTTCCGACACACTGTGTTTTCACTTTCGCAGCAACGGCCGAAAAGCAAAACAACAAACCAAAGTCCGCTTCTAACGCATTTTCCAGAGTCGGCGGGGTTCGACTCCGTTTTTCCTGGGCCGTGGTCACTGCCTTCGATTTTCCGGAGGGGAAACCACGAATTTTGTAATCCGCTTGGCCGGCCTCGGCGGCAGGGTGGGCCTGGTGGGCCGTTTCCTTGGGACTGCCTGTGATTGGGGACAGCGCTCGCGGCGGTTTGCGGCCCGGCGGCCCGGGGACCACTAGGGGACCCGGCCCACCAAGGGCTTCTCCGTCTCCCTCGCACCCACGGGGCGGGACAGGGGTGCGAGGGAGATGGCGCGAGTGCAGACCGGGGCCTCACAGTGGGCCTACTCGAACCGGGCCGACGCGTCCCGGCGCGGCCTTCTAACGACTTGCATAGTACTGTTTTACGGCGCAACTCCGGCGGTAACGGCCGATGCGGGGCGAGGCGGGGCGAGGCGGGGCTCGGCCGGGTCGGACGGCCGGGAACGCTCCGAACGACCGACAAATGTCTGTTTCGTGGCTTACTAAGTGCCGGCCGGCGGGACGCACTTGTGTACGTACCGGGGGGACCAGGGCGGCGGTGCGTTGCCGCCGACCGATGCGCTGCCAGATGCAGATGTCCGCGCCGAGCCGGCCACGGCCCGGACTATCTGCAGGCCGTCTCTCTCGCACCCCTCCGGAGTCCAACGACCGCGAGAGAGACGGATCGGTGTATGCTTTCGGGCCCAGCGGCGCGGGCGAGCGTCGGCGGGGACCTTGTGGCGGCGCCCACGCTGTAATCCTTGCCATGTCCGCGAGGACCAGGAAGGACCCCGAGAGGACCCCGATCTTAACGAGAGAAGAGATGAGGAACCGAGGCGTGGCGTGGCGTGGCGGGGCGGGGCGTGGCGGGGTGGGGCGTGGCGTGGCGTGGCGGGGCGGGGCGGGGCGGGGTGGGGAGGGGCGGGGCGTGGCGGGGTGGGGCGCGGCGTGGCTCGCGGCTGAGCAGATGGCGGAGGCGGCCCCGGCGGCCCCGGCGGCCCTGCCCTAATAGACACCGTTACGTCACTGGGCTATAGGCATAACCGTAAGGAAGGCCCCGACGCGGTTTGACCATCTCGAGTCGCACTTCCCCTTCCCGCTTGCCGCCCCGAGAGCGAGCCGAAAGCGAGCCGAAAGCGAGCCCACACTGCCAGAAAAAAGAAGCACGCCTTGGGGCCAGACTTTTCCGCAAAGTGTCCAACTTGGCTTTTGTGGGACAATTAGTCGGTGGCCCAGTTCGTACGGAGTTCGGGTGGTAAGTTTTTTTTTTCACCCCGCTGCTGGGAACGGGTTCGAATCGTTGCTGCTGTAGTGTTTCGCGGGAAGTTTCTTGAAATTGTTTGAGACGCGTGACGTTGAGCTGCATTCACGCTCGTCGAAGGTTCATTGTCCCGGAAAATGAGCCCCACGATTTTATCTCGTTTTTCTCAGTGTCCTGGTTGGCGTAGAGTGGAGTCGCGCCTGTCTCTCTCGCACTAACGGGACGCGTCTTAGGGATTGCGAGAGGCAGATCGACTACTACGCTATCGCTGGGTTTGCCAAACCGTGTCAGAAACAACGGGAATCAGACAGCATCTGGAGGTGTGTGTGTGTGTGTGTGTGTGTGTGTGTGTGTGACCTTCTTGCCCTTCTCCTCCCCTGCCCACCGGAAAGTTTTATCATTTTCCAGAGGGCGGTACTGCAAAACAAGCGCCGAAATTGAAACGTTAAAAAAATTGTCTTGCTGCGGAGTAGTGGTAGTTGTTGTAGGTAGTAGCGGGCGGTGGGGTAGCAGTGGCCGCAGTCGCTTCCCTGGGAAGCACTTCTCGGCTGCATGCCGCGAACCAGGTGAGTCAAAGAGGAGGGGGGGGGGCACTGCATAGCAGCAGCTTCGGAGCCCAGCAGTCGTCGCCCTGAATTACGTAACACAATTTGGGGCACTTTGACGGCGGCCTTCCTGCCTTCCCGCGCGCTCCAAGAACAGGGCTGCATTGTTGGCGGTGGAATGCGGCGGCGTGGCCGAGGCCGTGGAGGCCGTGGAGGCCGTGGCCGAGGCGGCCGAGGCGGCTCAGGCAGGAAGGCACTATTTCCCCTCTTTTATTAGCCCGGCTCTGCCGGCCCGGCCAGCCATCGCGGCTGAAACATTCGGCGAATCCGAGGCCTTGTCTGAGGCCGCCTTCGTGTACCTGAAAAAAAAAAATTTGGAAAGAAACAAATTCTAGCGGTGCTGCCGCCAAGGTTCACCCGACGACGTGGTCACGAGGAAAAAGAGGGAGCAAGTGAGAAAGAAAATATGGGGGCCCGCAGAGTGCGACAGAGAGAAATGATGGCGGTGCGTATGGCGAGGCCGCGAGGCGCGCGGCCGGCCGAACCAATGTTTCCCCCGTCTCATTAGGGGTGTCTTCTATGACCTCGAGATGGCGTAAATTAAATTTATCTGAAATTAACCCTCCGAGACTCCGCTACCCGGGAAGGGGCCCGGGAAATTTATCAAGTCCGTCCGGCCCCGCCCCGCCCCGCCCCGGCCGTTAATATTTTTCTCGGAAAGAAGCAAGTGGCCTCATCCTCATCCTCGTGCCGACAAAAGCCGCGGCCTCGGACATGAAAGCGGAGCGGAAGACGCGGCCCGGGCTCGGACACGGCCCTCAAAATATAATTGCCTTCCTTTCCTCCATCGGGCAGCCCGGCCCGGCCCAGCGGACAGCGTGCGAGTAGAGACCTAGAGGCGTCAGTCTCTAGGTCTCTACGTGCGAGGGGCCGGGCCCGTGACGCCTCTCTGTGGCGAGGATTATTTGCACGCCGCGGGCCTCGGCCCTGCGAGCGGAGTGCATCGCCAACACGCCGCCAACAACAACAACACTCCACCACCGTCAACAACAACAAATGCAAGTAAAAAATGCAGACACCCGCCGAAAAGGAGTGAACAAACGCACGAGCCGGGCGGAGCTCGGCTGTACGTAGTACAATGTATGAAAAATCCCTACGACCGCGCGCGCCTCACCTCGCCTCGCCGCGCCGTCGAGCAGGAAGAACGAAAGTCAACCCTGCTACCTCATCGAGTGTAGCCGACCACGGGGCTAGCGCAAGGTACGTCAACAGTGTGCTCCCTACGTGCTCTCTCTCTCTCTCTCTCTCTCTCTCTCTCTCTCTCTCTCTCTCTCTCTCTCTCGTTCGCGAGGCGCTGCTGAAAGACAATCTGTGTGGCGGACTGGTGTGGGTCGTTGGGCCGGACGGGCCGGCTGGTGTTGTTGGTCGGCCAAACACGCCACAATCGGGCGTCGGTGTGTATGCCCTGCAGACTGATTCCGGGAGTCGTTTTCGTCGCTCTGTCTCCCTCGCACTTAAGGAGTGTCTCGTGTGGGTGCGAGAGAGACAGAGCGACGACAGCAAATCTCGGGACCAGTCCACTGCGTGCGCCCCGGACGCTGCAATCGGCCGGCCGGCCGCGCGGAACAGAAACACAGAAAGACAGAAGGAACACAACGCAGAAGCTGAGCCGCCGTTT